CTTCTTCTAGCTCCCCTCCCCCTTCTGTACGGAACCACGCTCCTGGGGCATAACGCATTCGTTCGACTGTCCACTAATACCCGCTTTCTCCTGTTGCAGGCTCTTCTTGTGCTGCCCCAACTCGAAGGCTGATGTCTCCCTACTTGCACGTGCACGCTGGTGTCGGTGGGGCTCCTTACCCTATCGCCACTCTTAGGCTTTCTGACGATGTTCTCGTGCTGTTGCAGCCGCTGACCCCGGCACAGCGAGAGAGACAGCGCCCACAGACCGCCCTCCGCACCCCACTGGTCCACTGCACGAGGTGAAGCTGGACGCCGTGGACGAGAAGACCTCACTCCACGAGGAGCTCAATCTGAACGACGATGGCCCAGAAGGTGCGGCGCCAACATGTCTTTTTTCCGTCTTGTCACTGCTTAAAAACTAAATTTAATTGATGGCGATATTGTGTTTCCTCGCTAGCGTTCTCTTGGTATTTCTGTGCTGTTGCAGGCGCTGACTCCGGCATACCGAGCGGGCCGACGCCCGCAGACCGCCCCCCGCGCCCCACCGACCCGCTGCATCGGGCAAATGAAGTGGCCGCGGACCAGAAGATTACACTGCACCATGCAGTGACTGTGGCCGACGGTACGGAAAGTTCCGGCAGCGTCGAGGACGGCCAGCTTCTAGAGGCGGAAAGCTACTCGCTCCGCACCCGCCTGAGCAAAGCGAGCCGGGACGGAGGAAAGGGCGAACACCAGGACGACGAGGATCTCGAGCAGCACCCTGAGAGCAACCGGCAGGACGGCGAGGCCCTGCAGCAGCACCCCGAGGATGTTGGCGAGGAGGCCGGCAGTGGAGGAGAGGCGGGCGAGGGCAATAGCTGTCCAGAGCAGCATCAGGACCAAGTGAAGCGGAGGCAGAGAGGACGTGTTCACGGCGGACAGGAGTCGTACAAGTGTAATGATTGTCAGAAGTGTTTCACACGGAAAGCCGTTCTAGCTAGGCACATCAGGACCCACACTGGTGAAAGGCCATATGAATGTGACATTTGTCACAAGCGGTTTAGTGATCAAAGTAATCTTGCTCAGCACGTCAGAACCCACACTGAGAGACCATATGAATGTGACATCTGTCACAAGCGGTTTAGTTCTCAAGGTAATCTTGCTCAGCATGTCAGGACCCACACTGAAGAGAAACCTTATGAATGTGACATTTGTAATAAGCATTTTAGCAAGAAATATGATCTTGCAAAGCATGTCAGGACCCACACTGGTGAGAGACCATTTGAATGTGACATTTGTCACAAGCGGTTTAGTGATCAAAGTAATCTTGCTCAGCACATCAGAACCCACACTGCGAGACCATATGAATGTGACATCTGTCACTAGCGTTTTAAACAGAAAAGGAATCTTGCTTACCATGTGAGGACCTCTGAAAAATGTGTATCTAATGTCCACATGAGACGCTTTTGATAAACCATATTTTCCATCGTTTAAGCCATTAGGGACACATTTCTCTGGCCAAGATGAAGAACTATGAAGGTCTTTTGCATGATTGATCACAAGCTGCTACACACGAGAACTATCAAGAACAAGCTATTTTCGGTATTGATTATTATTTTGCTTGTTAATCGAGACTTACTTTGTCCTTGACTGTTTCAGTTGGTATTTTGTGTAAATTATGTAATTTTGGCGTAAAATAAATGTCAGTTTGTTATCAATAAAATAATAATACATAATTATCAATTTGTTTTCATTGTACTTGGTTTTTAAAGGTAACGATGTTGTAGATGGTCATAGCAACATGCATAATAGTGACATCCATACGGCACCACGCTCCTTGGATAAAATGCATTCTGTCGACCTTTCACTTACACCCGCCTTCTCCTGTTGCAGGCTCTTCTTGTGCAGCCCACCTTGAGACGGATGCATCTCTACTTGCACGTGCATGCTGGTGTC